TAAAATTATAAATCATGTAATTGAAAAAAAAATCTTTATGCAAACTATTAATAGATACCTAAACACAAGATGGCTATTTTCCCCTTTTGGGTCCCCTTCGGAGAATCAAACCCCACAAGATGGTTTTTAAAATGAAATCACACGTAAGTAGTTATATTCATAAAGTACACTAAACAAAAGCTATACAATGAGAAACATCAACAGCAGATCCAAATGAACATATTCCTCGGAATTCTATGTTTCATCAAGCATCAGAAAACACCAGTCTTTTTAGTTCTGTTCTTGTACATTTTTCTGTGTCCACATTCTTTGGTTGGACCCTTGGGTTTTCTCTCACTATATGACATTTCCCGTAGATAATGTATCATTGGCTGCTACTTTGGGGGTCGAATGTCCTTCTGGGTGTCCCTTGTTAGTCCTCACATAGCATGGAGAAACTTCTGTGCTTCCAGATTCTGGCTCATTGCCGTCCCATCCTTTTTAAGCAGAGGATGTGTGGGGTTCCTGCTTATGTGGGCCATGGTTTCTCACCCTGACTTTCCTTCTTGCCTTGGTGTCTGAACCGACAGCATCGCCCTAAGCAACTGGTGGTTTGTGGCCCATCTGACAGACCTGCTGGATCACTGCAAACTTCTCCAGTCGCACAACCTCTAGTAAGTGTGTGTGGCACCCTGACCCTTTTCTTGCTACCACCCAGGTCCTCTAGGGTGGCGTGCACTGAAAGCCTAGCAGGGAGGTTGGGCTGCAGAGGGGGACCCTGAACGGAGCAGGCCAGGAGTCTGGGTTTCATGTTAAGTTTTATTCCAGCTTTGGATCCAACATGAGAGAGTTCCTCCTGCTGGAATATGCCTCAGGGCTGTTTGCTCATCACAGGTAGGAAAGCCTCAAGGGGCGACGGCGGGGTGCTCTTCAGAATGCGGGTGCCATCGCAGCTTGGACGTAGACTATTCTCATTCCTGTTTGGTTCCCTGAAGGCCACAGGGGTCCCGGGAGGGGCCGTCTGAGGGTGCCTGAGCCCTAGCGCAGCACCCGGGCTCGTCAGGCCCTCACACCTGTTCTGGACCTTTGCAGCCTGTGGCAGCTGGGAGTGGATTACTTTGACTACTGCCCCGAACTGGGCCGAGTTTCCTTGGAGCTGCACATTGAGCGGATCCCTCTGAGCACCGAGCAGAAAGCCCTCAAGGTGCTGCGGATTTGCGAGCAACGGCAAATGACTGAGCAAGGTGAGTTGGCCCTCTCAGCACACCCTTTGTGTTCATGCCATGCCAGCCACACTGGAGAGAGGCCGGGCAGTGGATGCCAAGAAGCAAATAAAAACAGGAAAGTTACTGGGGTGGACAAAGAGCTAGGGATCTCTTGGGACTAGAAGCAAGCAGTTGAGCATGTTGCCTTTTGAAAAGGTTCCTGACCCAATTTTTCTCTCATGCTCCAAGAAGTCAGGGCTGGAGTTTACCTGTCCCAGTGGGTTGCTGTTGCTTGCTCGGGCTGACTAGGGAAGTAGGACTGGAGGTGGCTCAGGAAGAGCACAGGGAAGAAACAGTGAAGAAGTTTGCCCTTTTTTTTCTCCCCTCACTGCTGAGTGATAAAAACCTAAGTTATTCTTCCCAGAGGCACTCGCATAGAGTGTTCAAGACCCAAAGAACAGTAGGATCCTGGGCACCTCGACAGATAATGGAGGAGCTGACCCATGGAGAGCAATAAAAATCTTACTGCCACCCCTGAAATCAAACCTGCTCACAAAGCCCATCCCGTCAGGGTGGGTCACACTGTTCACGGAGCCAGGAGACAATTTATAAATCCCCGAGTTGAGTTTCCTGTTCTGCTGACCAAGCTGTAATTGGAGCCTATGGGGGAGTCTGTGGAAGGCTGAGCGGCAGGAAGGCCACTTCCAGTGGGGAGGTGGGACTGGAGTGATTTGTAAGGTGAAAGGTTTGCCTTTTCTCTTTCCCAAAGTTCGCAGCATTTGTAAGATCTTAGCCATGAAAGCTATCCGCAACAATCGCCTGGGCTCTGCCCTGTCTTGGAGCATTCGAGCCAAAGATGCCGCCTTTGCCACTCTGGTGTCAGACAGGTGGGTTCAGCCAGCGTTGGCTTCCTCGGGGCTGTCTGAGAGGTTGGGAGGCTGAAGACGTGGGCCTGGGCCTGCTCTGATCGCCGGGCTGGGCCTTGCAGGTTCCTCAGGGACTACAGCGAGCGAGGGTGCTTCTCTGATTTGGATCTCATTGACAACCTGGGGCCAGCCATGATGCTTAGCGACCGACTGACATTCCTGGGTGAGTCTGTCTGGGCTCTGTCCCTGGACTTTTGGCACAAATAGACAGTTGTAGAGTTTGGAGGGACCGCTCTCTACTTCCCCAGTATTTCCTTTCTGTTAAGCCCAAACTCCAAGCCACACAGAATCCTGTGTGCCAGACTCTGCCAAGCATATTTTTCAGTAACATTTTATTTTCCAGTCATTTCCAACTTAAGTCGTGAAAGTAGAACAAGGAATAAGGAGCTCCCATAAATACTTTACCCAGATTTACCCATTGTTCATATTTTGCCTCATTTGTTATACCATTCTCTCATTCAATCAGGTTTTTGGGGAAGTTTGAAAGTAAGTTGGAAACATTGTTCTCCTTTCTCCGTAAATAGTTGAGCATGTGTTTCCCAAGAACATTCTCTTATATAAGCACTTTGATCAAAATCTGAAGATTCAGTGCTGATACAGTACTCTCATCTAATCCACAGTCCACATCTGATTACACCAGTTGTCCTAGTAATGTCTTTCTATCTTGTGCAGGTTCACAAATTTAGTTGTCGTGTCTCTTTAAGTGCCTCTTTCTTGGTGCTTCTTAACCTTGACGTTTTGCAGTTCAGCTCTTTTTGTAATGTCAATTTGGGTTTATTTGATGTTTCCTCATGATCATATTTAGATTGTGTTTGAGGCAGGAACACTACTGAGGTGATGTTTTCAGTGCTGTGTCCCCTTGTTGTGGAGTTCGCTTTGATCATTTGATTAAAGTGGCATCTTCCAGGGGTTTCCTGTGTAGCACTGACTTTCCTTTTGATCATTTGTGGAAATATTTTGGGATTATTTAAGTGTCTTTTTCCTCATCAAACTTTCACCTGCTAGTTTTGATTACTGGTGATTTTGTCATTCCTTGTTTTAGTTCATTCTACCATATGGAAGGCTTTCCCTTTGTCCCCGTTTATTCTTTCATTTACATCAGTAATGTACTCATTACTTATACACCATGGCTCTTGTTTATTTTGATGCTTACATTCTCCCGGGTTTGGATCGTTAGAGCCCCTTCAAAGCATGTTTCGAATCCTTTTGGTCTCAATGGTCCATGAGCTTGGAGACAGCTCTGGAAGAATCTCCCTGCTCTGGGGAATGGCTGTCTGGGATCAGACTTCTCTTGTTTAGGGCCTGAGGTGACCTAGTGTTCTTTTCTAGGAAAGTACCGCGAGTTCCATCGATTATACGGGGAGAAGCGTTTTGTTGATGGTGCTTCTCTTCTCCTGTCACTGATGACTTCTCAGATTGCCCCACGGTCTTTCTGGATGACACTCCTAACAGATGCCCTACCCCTTTTGGAACAGAAACAGGTTGAGTCTACAATGATTTTCTTCTCTGCTTTTATTGTCCTTGAAGGTACTTCATTCTGTAGCTGTTGCAGATGCGTATACATCCATCATCTCCCAAGCGGGTCTCCGCATGTGTGCGCATATCACTCATAGCACCTACTCTGGAAATCTAACATCCACACAAGAAAAACTACTTAATTTGAAACGAGGCACTTGTCTACTGACCATACCCAGCCCAAGGCTGGGATTGAGAATAGGGGTGCTCTGCCCTCCCAGGGCATGCAAGGAAGGCTGTCTCTGACCTTGGGCCTGGGCTCAACAGTGCAGGCCTTAGCTGGGGAGCAGCTAAGTGAAGCAGCCTCTCTCCCCTAGGTGATATTTTCTGCAGAGCAAACATACGAGCTGATGAGATGTCTGGAGGACTTGACCTCAGGAAGGCCAGTGCACGGAGAGCCCGATGCCCAGCAACTCCAGGTCATTTGGTTTTCTGGGTTGGTTCCACAGTGGATAAAGGGCTCCATCTATCTCGGGCTCCCCCCACCTCCCTCCACAAACACTGGTCCCTTACAAACTCATGTGCCTCTTAAATTACCTCTTAACCTATAACTGCCACATAACTTTTTAGGAGAAAACAAGGTGATTCTAGAGTTCTGGTCTCTATATTTTCCTTTCCTGTCAATCAGTTGCAGAGGTTCTTTGCATGCAACTCTCTCACATTGAGAACTTGCTGGAAGCTACTACTGAATGTTAAGTGCCTATCTGCCTTTGGATTAGATAGAGCCTTTGGGAGCTTTAAAGGAGGATCACTTCCTGCTGTGCCTCATGCTGGCTCTCTCTGCTTTCAGGATGATGACATAGAGACCACCAAGGTGGAAATGTTGAGACTTGCTCTGGCACGGAATCTTGCTCGGGCAATTATAAAAGAAGGCTCGTTGAAAGGTTCCTGAGGCTGAGAGCTGCTCCAGCACGGTATTTTTGTATGGCAATGTATATAAATTTTTAAAAGAATAAATATTTTCTTTTGCAAATATGAGGCAAGTTCTTACGGTTCAGTTAGGGAGTTTTTATCTACCTCCTGAGGTAAAAATTAAGAAAATACTTGTTTTCTTTGACATGGAACTGACTTCCCTGTCTCCTTAGAGAAAAAACACCCCTCCCCACAAAATCATGGTGAGTGCAGTGCCCTCCTGCCTGTAATTAGAAACTTGGACAGGAGCCTTCAGTGGTTTACTTGTGCTTCTGAAATCCGGCCTCACCTCAGAATCATCTCAGACATCCATTTGTCAACTTTCTGGTTATCTCTTTGAAAAAAGAAAAAGGTTCAGAAACCTGTATGTTAACAAAAACCTAGGTGATTATCTACAGTTGGAATTTATAAGTGGCACTTTTCCCTCCTGGGGGTGAATGGTGTCTGTTAGAAGGATTCCAAATGGGGTCAAAATGATTTTATTTAACATGCAGCAAAACAAGGGCGGCAGAGTTGGTATATCCAGTAGAGCTGTTTGTCACAAAACAGTGACCTCAACAGTAACGAGTAACACTCATAAATAATTTTAATGTCTAAAGCTTATCGTAAAGATACATTTCCATGTAGTAATCCTAGAGATCTTCCCAGGGCTGTAGCAGCCGGTCTCTGGAAAGCTCTTAGATTTATTCCTTAAGTAGTGAAATCAATTCACTTTCGACCTAATAAAGCAGTGAAACCTGCTTGCTAAAGATGGTAGAGAAGGGGAAGATGACCTCTTGATAAGGAACCCTGGCAAGGAAGAGGGAGGGATCAGGGAATGTCGCCTGTGCCACCTTCTCCTGGAGATGGTGCTGAGCCCATCCAGCTGAGCGCGGTGCTCTTTCGCCAGTTGGTGGTTCTCACTTTCCTGTTGCCCTGTGAGGCTTTGGAGTCTGGCACAAGCTAGCTGGGGCTGAGCACTGTTGAAGCAGTAAGTTCTGGTGATTCAATTCAAGTGTGGCCCCTAATCTCACCACCTCTAGACCCGACATCTTGCTGACAGTACCCTCAGCAGCTGAGGACAGTTTCTGGGCAGCAGGTAAGGACTTAAGTCTGGTGCAGTTTACCTCACCCTGAGGCCTCCTGTTCCTGACTGTATGCCATACCATGGGCCATCTCGGGCATGGAGTGGGGAGGCCAAAGCAGGACACAGAGGGTGGCAGGAGCTGTCCTCCCCTTCAGAGACTCGAAGGGCAATACAGCAGTTTATTTCATGCCAAGCAAGAGGTAGTGAGTGGGGTGGCCTGTTCCCACACTGGGAGGCACACTTTCTCCGGAAGCTCTGAGTACCTGCTTCCAGAGGGGAAACACTGGTTCTTTCCCGTTTATTTCCTGTCCTTTAGTGTAGGCTGCCCTGAGGCCAAGCTCTGTTTCTAATAGGCTGAGAGCCACATCCTGGTGAGATGTCCATAGGACACAGCCTGCCACCGCCAGGGACAAGCACATACTCATCATCCAGTGGTCGTTTCAGAATGACGCCCATGGAAGGCAAGCACACCAAGTCCTCTTGTGCCCAGGCCCATCTGGGACAACTGGGCTTTGCCCACCTCCCTGGAGGTAGGAGTAGGAGCCTGCCAGCAGGGGAAGCACAGAGTAGCAATGGGGGACATGAGGACATGGTCCTTAAGGAAGGACCCCAAGTCTCTTTAGAGACCTACTCCCTCGAGGCATCAGGGGAAAAACCTACTTCAGCCTTGGGTCCGTGTTCCCAGGGCAGCAGTGCAGAGTCTGGGGCCACATCCCACCCAACAGTACATGGCCACTTCAAGTCACACAGGTAGAAAGAAACAGGTCCTTTTAAGGGGCCAAAGGATAAGAGACCATCACAGCAGCAGCTCAGCTCCTGGCAGCAATGCCCAGGGCTCCTGTTCCATACCAAAGCTCTAAGTACTGCAGTCAGGACATGGAGAATGACTGGACCAGGAGAGCCCTCCCGTCTTGGGGCAGCCTGCTTGGGTTTCAAAGTGGAGATGACGGCATCCTCTGGGGTCATAGGTTCCCCCACTGCTCCACAGGAGGGAACTGGTCCACCTCACCCACCTCCGTGCTCAGCTGCTCCCCCAGGGCGAAGGTCAGCCTATACCGAAGCCTTGCCTTCTCCTGCAACACAGGGGCAGCGCGTGAGACGCCATTACCCTTGGAGCTCTTTCTGTGCCAATGTACAGGCCCTGCTCCCACCAGCCCATCCTCACTCAGCCACTGAACCAAGGTAGGGAAGGGACATGGCTTAATTTAACAATATCATGACACTTCTGGCTGGGAGGTGGTTGTCCCAAAGTAATGATATGGGCCTTCAGGCTGGTTTCTGGCTCACCTTCAGTGGATTGGCCAGCAGCATAACCTGGGTGATGGCTGCAGGTGGCTGGATGGGGCTAAATGGAGAGAGTTCTGTCCCAGAGGGTGGCTGTAACTTCACTTTCATTGACTAAAGAGAAAGAGAGAAGCTCTTTGAAGAGATGGCAGGTGCCTGGAGATGGACATATGTATCATCAGAGTGGACACATGCTGTCGCCTGCTGCCTGCAGAGGCCCTCAATGAAGCAGGTTCCAGATGAAGGTAATTCCTGCCTCTAGAAGCCCCAGGAAGCCAGGGTACCTTGGGCACTGCAGCCTGCAGCACGATGCTCTTGATAGGCAAGGGAGCCGTGTTCAGCATTGACACCACCACCACCAGCACGTCGGGCCGTCCGGGCGGACATTCCTTGGCAAAGTGGAAGAGGATGCGGAAGCCGTTTTTATCATAGGCTGTCACAGGAAGGGCACTGCCTGTAAGAAGGTGGCATGTGGGTATGGAAGGAGAGAGAAGGTCAACGATACCCAACATGCCCTGGGGGTGCCTGCTGCCGCCAAGTGGGGTCAGCAGCATAACCCTGTAGTGAGGAGGCTCCCTTAAGGAGTCTGGGAAAGAACCTCTGTCAGACCTTCACAAGCAGAGGCCAAGACCAGAAAGGGGGTTGCAGCTGACTCTAAGGGACGCCAGCAAGGAGAGCCTGTACCGATCCACCCCTCCCACTCCACACAATGCTCCAAGCCGTGTGTGGCCCTCGCTTCCCTTCCCGCCCCAAGCCTCTGACACCTACTAGGCTTGATGGATTCCAGGGGGACATGGACACTGGCCAGGGAAAGCTCAGTCCCCTTCATGGGGCTGCCCTGGGACGGGAAAACAGGTGGCTGGAAGAGAGGGCTGCCAGGCCCAGTGGAGAAGGGCAGGAGAGGCCTAGCTGAGGTGGTGGGGATCAGAGGGGAGGTGGCAGCCCCAGGGAAGAAGCTGGAGGAGACAGGTTTCACCAGGGCTGAGGTCCTGGGAGGCAGGAAGGACAAGGCAAGTCAAAAACCAGGCAGAGTTGCTACGTCAACCCCTCACAAAGCTCCCACCATCCCCCACCCTAGCTTCCAGCCTGATGGATCAGACCAAAAGGGAGCATCCACCCCCGCCCACCCTAGAACTGCCTTTGCTTCTACCAAACCCAGGTGCAACCCTGCCCGATCCCACCTCTCCCACTCATTACGCTTTGGCTTCTAGAAGCTGATCGAGGGCATCCAGCTGGTGTAGGGTGCTGTCGCCCAAAGCTGAGTGATGGTACCCGGGGACCGTGGGCTCGGCCTTTGGAGCTGAGGCTGGGGCCAGTCCAGTGGGGAACAAAACAGAAGCGCTGGCTGGGACCACGGGAACTGGGAAGGGGGGTGGCAGTGGAGCCTGGGAGTTGCCTGTGGGGGCTGCTGAGGACGGGAGGTCAGGCCCATCTGAGGGGCTACAGCCAGCAGTCCCAAGTTTGGGGCTGAAGAAGTCCAGGTCCGGCTGTTCGTTCTATGGGGAATGGAAAGTGTGAGTGAGCAAAGGGTGTGGAGGGCTGCAGCTCGCCACCCCGGCACCTTTGCTGGGGGCCCTACTGCAGCCCCACTGGACTAGCAGCCGAGGACAGGACCCCAGGGGGTAGGGGCAGCAGGGCTGCAGCTAACTGCAGCTGAGGACTAGTCAGGAAAGAGGATGCTAAGCCAAGGTGGTTGAGTGCTTCAGTGATGGCACCTGTGCCTACCTGGAACAGGGGCCACTGGCTGTTTCCAGCTGACTCTTTGGGAGGGGCACTGGGGGCTGGGTCAGTGAGGCCTGAGAACAGAGATGACCATGATGACAAGAGGCTCTGGGCTAGGGCAGCCCTAGCCCCACCAGAGGAAGACTCACACAACAAACATGATTGTCTGACGTCAGTGCATGGGGAAATGTTCCCCAGGCCACCTCCAAAGGGGACTCCTTACAGTTGTGGATGGGGGAGGGGGGCTCCAGGGGAACAGCAAGACACTACATCTACCGCTTCTACCCCGGGGTCCACATAC